GCAATGCATGTAATGTGCTTAGAGCAGTGTCTGACGTTAAATAAAAAGTAGTCACTATTATTGCCATTGTTGTCATTACTTTTACCACAACCATGGGCCCCAATCCTCCAGTCCTTTAGGTGCTAGTCTGGTCTGCCTCCCCCCACCCCCACCCCAGATTTGATTATACCCCAGTGTAATCTATCCCTTCTCCAACACCTTTAGCTATCAGGGTCTTAAATTATAATACATGTAAAGACACAGTTGTCAGAGAAAAGGCTGAATGGGCTGGGATAGCCACACGGCAAGCCATGGAGAGAGCCCGTTTCCACATCTGGGACCTCAGAAGGTCGCATTAGGTCAGGGTCTTAGTCTGGGTTCTCTGAAGCAAAACAAGTAAAGCGTATAAATATATATATAGAGAGATTTATATTAAAGAAATCATTCATGCAGTTGTAGAGGCTGGAACATCTCAAGTCCGTGGGTTAGGATGGAGGCTCTTCCTGATTCATGTAGCCACAGGGGCTGGCAAACCCAAGATCAGCAAGTCAGACAGCAGGGCTCTGACTCACAGGCTGCAAGGACCAACGAATCCCAAGATCAGCAGGCAAGACAGCAGGTAAGCTGCTATCTCAAGTCCCAAGAACTGGAGGTCAATCGAACGGGAACCAGCTGCAGGATCCAGTGTGAGCAAAAGCCCACAAGCTTTGCTAGAAAGTCCACCTATATTGGATGCAGGCCACACCCCCCAAGGAAACTCCCTTTCAACTGATTGTCTACTCACAGCCGATCCCATCACGGACGTGATCACATTATATTAAATCTCATCACGGAAGTGATCACATCATTATATGACTGCCAAACTACATCGTAACTGCCAAACCACTGAGAATCATGGCCCAGCCAAGTTGGCACACAACCTTAATCATCACAGTCAGTGACTTTCAAACTGTAGCCCGAGAGCCCAGGAGATTGGGGTGGGGAGGAGTGAAGCCCAGTACACAGGCTCCTGGCACCTTTTCTGCTTAACACAGCATCTCTGCTTCTCTCTAGTTTACACGTTAGGATTCCATGGGAGAGAGTATTAAAAAAAAAAAAAAAAAGAGTCCTACAGCTAATACAAAGTTTGAAAAATCTTATGTAGTCACCCAACAACAACAACAATAACAGAGATTGTTACTTACTAGGTCCAGGGAGGAGTCCAGGGGACTGAACATCAATTAAGCATCCCCAGTGATTTTGACATAGGTGATCTGTAGACTACTTCTTATGAAACCTGAGAGTCCGCCAAGAGGAGAGGAATAGTGACTCCCTTGTATCTTTCTGGAGCCCTGGTGGAACAGTGGTTAAGAGCTCAGCTGCTAACCAGAAGCTTGGCAGTTCAAATCCACCAGCAGCTCCTTGGAAACCCTATGGGGCAATTCTACTCTGTCCAATAGGGTCGCTATGAATCGGAATCAACTCAACAGCAGTGGGTTTGGTTTTGGTTTTGGTAATGCATTCTATGATCTTTAAGGTCATTTTCTGTTAAAAAAAAAAAATCTATGAACTATTATTTCTTGAATTATTACTCAAAAGGCTATGGGGCCAGGTGGGCAACTTCAGTGTCTAGGGTCTGACAGCTAGAGGATTGGGGGAACACTGGAGAATGAAAGCCTTTCAATACCCCTGGGAATGAGCAAAATGGATATAGATGAGAAAAGAGAACACTGAAGCTCAAACATTACCTACTTTCCTGTGTTTGCTTTCTTGTTCCTCTATCATAGCTCCATGCTCAGAAAACCAGATCTTAGGCTTCAGCCAGATGAACCATTTTTCTTTTTAAATTTATATTTGGAAAAAAAAAAAACTACCCAGTAGAGGTGAGTGGTCTCCAAAGAGTTTCATTTCCTTTCTGAGTCAGGTTCAGCCTCACGGGGCTCTGACTTTCGATTTCTGCAGCCTTGCCGTCCCCTGAGCACTCAGAGGTCCTCAGGTGATGCCCCCTCTATTTTAAGAGGCCCCAAAACTAAGCGGAGTGACTAAAGATAATTTTTGGTACTTTCCAAAATTAAACTATTTCCTTTAGTAAATTTCCACCAAATGAGCTCATTAATCTGAAAACAGGATGTGGTACATAAAGAGAGTGAGGTCAGGTTGCCCACTCTTTTCACTTACACTGGCCTGGGGCAGAGAGGAAGAGGTGGGGGAGAAATGGTTTTAGGGGACAGAGAATGGCTTTTTTAGGCCCTAAATCCTTGAGAAACTTCACTGCATGGTAGGGCAGAGAATCAATGAATTTTTAAACCAGAGAGTCAAATAACTCTTTGAATCATTTTGTCTTCGAATTGAAAGGCCCTGCAGAGGCCACCTCTGGTCAACCTCCCACGGACTGCATGAATTCTCTTGTGGAGAGTCCAGAGACCCACTGCTTGTCCACATGCATCTCCCTTCCAGGTGAGGACCCTGAGACCCTGCGCGTGTACACATACAGTTACTCATTTCATCTGTGGGCAGCTGTGATCGTTGGCAAGGCCTCCTTTCACCCAGCAGGACCCTCTGTCCTGCAGCACAGGCCCATTGGTCAGAAGCTGGAAGACAGCAGCTCAGCTTGGGGTGGGTGGGAGGAGGGAAGGTTTAAATATATCCTAGATTAAAAAACAAAAACAAAGAACTAAGGATGGTTCCCTGCTCTCAGAATCCTATTGGGAGTCAAAGAAAAAGGGGGGGGGGGTCCCTAATCCATAAAGAAAGGTTCCTAGGTGGCACAAACAGTTTGCACTCAACTTCTAACTTAAGGCTGGCAATTTGCACCCAGTGGCACTGCGGAAGAAAGGCCTGGCAATATGCATTAGTAAAGATTACAACCAAGAAAGCTCTATGGTTTGGTATCTACTCCACAGCAATGGGTCTTTGAGTAGTTAAAACAGAAGGAAACCAGCAAGGTGGGCAGCCTCACTCCTCCTTCAGTCAACAGCCCTGGAGGGCCTAAAGGTCTGATGGAGAAGGAGCCTTTGTCACACTGGTGGTATGCACAAATAAAGGTTTATTTGTAACTTTTAAACAAAAATTCTATCCCAACACTAAGTTTTCTAAAATTTTTTATTAGTATATACAGATTCATGGGGACTAAGTGGCTGTGTGTGTTCAGACAAAAACAAAAAAGATTCCTTCAAATATCGTGTTGTAAAAGCACAGCACCTTTGGAACCGCTTTGTACCATCTCTTTACTGACCGGGGCAACCCAGTGAGCTTGGATAAGCCTGGCACTGTGTTCTTTACAGGAATCCAAGAGGGATAAGACTCAGGTTTTGTTACTTCTCATCCGATATCCAAGAGAATTCCAGGCGGGAGACGAGGGTCTGTTTTCATTTATTCATCGGACATTTTACTGAGTACTTAATATGTGTCCAGTACTGCACTAGTTGCCCGGAACACGGCAGGGAGAAGAGCAGAATGTAACCGTGTTAGTTACCAGTGGGATAACATACCTGCGACGCCGTAAGCCTGGTCAAGGCCTCAGTTTCCCCAACAGGGGAGCGCTTAGACGCCCTCTACCTAGGGAGCGGGCTCGGGCAGCCGGCATCTGCCCCATCCCGGTCTTCCCCCGCTTCCGCCGCCGGGCCACGTCGTCCGCGCCCCGCCGGAAGCTCCCGGGCGGGCCGCGGGGAGGTGGCTGTGGCGGCGGCGACGCCGAGGTTGGTTGCGCTGCACCCCCGCCCCCACCCCGCCCGGTCCCACCTGCCCTGTGACCGTGGGGTGGCTCCTCGCCCTCCTGCGCCCCCCAACCCCGCGCTCCCCGACCGGACGTCCTCAGCTCCCCTCGCTTGAGCGTCATCCCAAGCCCAGGCCTCACGACGGCCCGGGACCGCAGCTGCAGGGCCCGCCCCCAGCACCCGGGCGTCACTGCCCACAGCCCTTTCTGCGGGCCTCGGGGCACCCCGGGGGAGCGTTCACCCGTGGAATAGTCACAGGCGCTGCTCTGCGCCCGGAACTGTGCTCGCAACGGCGAGTGGAGGTGGCGAAACGACAGGGGCCATGTCCTCGGGGGGCGCACGAAACGGGGGTGGGGGACACCGACGAGAACCGGGAATCACAAGAGCCGGGTGGCAGGGGCTGTGCTCGGGCCGGCAGGACGCAATGGGATCGCAAATCCTGGCGCCCAGTCCTGTTATGGGGGCGGCCCACGGAGACTTCCCAGGAGAAATGGGATCTGGTCCCGAAGGACGAGTGCAAGGCTGGGGAGATGGGGGCGCGGGGCGCGGGGCGCTCTGCGTGTGTGGAGCTATGGGGATGAGGTCGATGGATGTTCAGGATGGAAGAGAAAGGGGCCCAGGAGACCGATAATGAGCAGCCAGAGAAGTAGGAGGGAACCCCGAAGGGTGTGGGGGAAGCCTAGGAAAGGAAAGGATTCTGGAAGGAGGGGCTAAGAGCCCTGTCAGGTGCTGGCCAGGAAGTAGAAACTGGGACTGGCTGAGAACATTCGGTGACCACGTCATAGGTAACCTTGAGGAGATGGTTCTGTGGAGGCTGGAGTGAGGAAGTGGAGGCTCCTGTGCAGACAATCTTTTCTAGAAGTTCTACTGTTAAAATGAGGAGAGAGAGTAGAAGCAGGAGAGAATTTAGGATGAGGGTCAAAAGAGTTTTAAAAACGGGCAATAGCACGATGTGTACTTAAAACACAGGCCCTGGGTTCAAGAGTTCCCACTCACTGGCTGTGAGACCTTGGGCAATCACTTAACCTCTCTTTGCCTCAGTTCCATCATCTGTAAAATGGTGATGGTGATAACAGTACCTGCTTCGTAGGGTTCATGTGAGGATTAGATGAGATGGTGCCTGTAAAGTACTTAACAGTGCAGCCAAACACAGAACTTTTTCATGTTCTTTTTCATTTTTATTATTAGAGCAGGTTGAGCATATTTTGAGGTCAATGGGAAGGAGTTGGTAGAGAAGGAGGCACTGAAGGCAGAGGGGAGGGAAAGGGCTCCAGAACTGGGAAGGGGAGACAAGTCTTGGGTGCCTCTGCCATCCCTCATTGAGGGGAGGAAGGAATGGGTGGGGATGCAGGGAAGTTTGCATGGTTGGGATGTACAGTTAAAGGAATGTCTTTCCGATAGTTTTTATTTTCTCTGAAGTAGGCATTGGGGTTATTTGCTGACAGTTCCAGGCCAGGGCTGGTCCAGGTGAGCGTGGAGGTCCTGATGGACACATCAGCCATAGCGTGCCCTGCCCTCTTTGCCAGCAGTCTCTGGCAGCCAGAGGAGTAACAGGTATGGCAGGTAGGGCACATGCCCTGGGTGCCACTTGAGGAGGAGCGCTAATGACCAGTTTCTATTGGCCATCATAGTTTCCATTGCCAGCTGTGTGAGATCATTCAGCAATTTAAAACTAATTGCCATAGGCACTATTTTCCGTAGATAGGCCCCTGCTGGCAGCTCAGGTATCTGTCCAGGGAAGGTGGGCAGCTGAAGTTTCCCAGGGTTAGAGGACAACATCTAACCTGCCCTGGCCACCTGTGAAGCTCAAGTAAAGCTGATGGATTTGAAAATACTGTAAATATGATTTAACATCTTAATCCTCTCCACTCGTTTTGTAGAACTAGAAGAGGAGTGGCCGTCATCTGAGGCCCTTTGGAGCTGTTTGCTTGGACCACCCACTATGCCACACTTTCACCCAAGATCTTATTTAGTCATCACAACAATCGAGTGAAGTAGGTACTATTATCCCCATTTTACACATGTAGAAACTGAGGTTCAGAGATGTTAAGGACCTTTTCCTATGACCCATAGCTAGTAAGTGGTGGACCCAGGATCCCAACTCACATGTGTCTGACCTCAAAGCCCATGATTTGAAACTACTATGAAAGTTCACAAAACCCTTCGTAGCTGCACAGCAGGGCTGGGGGATGTGTGGAGAGCATCTTCTCCATTTGAGGCTAGATGCTCTGACCCCCATCCCAGCTCTGTAGGTTGCTTTTGTTTCTCTTGTGTGGGGGCAAGAACACAGAGCTTGGAGTCTGACAGACCTGCCAGCACCTTGCTTCTCTGAGCCTATTTCATGACTGCAGAAGAACACCAGCTGGTTGTTCTGAGATTAGAAGGTAAAACATTGCCCGGCACATGGTAGACGTGCCAGGAGCCATAGTTCCCTTGGTTCACTTTTCCTGCAAACATGGATCTATGTCCCACTTGGCCACTCACTTGGGAGCTGAGATCAACTCCCTGTGAGCTTGCATGTATTTAGCGCTTTGTTCTTCTTAGGGCAAAGAAGCGGTGGCACCTGACCTGGGTGTGTGGCCACTATGACTTCCTGAGTGGGAACCGTGGGGGAGGGCCCTGAGGAGTCTGTGGTCCTGAGGCCTTGGGCCCAGAAAGCCTGCTGGGGACTTCAAAGGAGAGGAGGGCCCTGTGTCATCATAGATACTGATGGAGGAATACCCGGGGCAGAGTGGAGCCCTCAGAGGCCTTCCTGCTGTCTCTGGTTGCCTTGGTTGTAGGCTCCCAGAATCTTAGAGCCTAGAGGAGACTTGGAGACTTCCTGTTTCAACTCCTTTTTTTACAGATGGGGTAACCGAGACCCACTGTGAGGAAATGACTTTCACCTGAGGTTGCCCAGCCTCTCTGGATTGTGCAGAGCTAAAGCTCCTGGGACTTGAATCTTTGGACCTGCTTCCATGACCTTGGGGACTTCCACCAGGGAGGTGAGCCCCCAACCAGGGAATTCTAAGCTGCTTGGGGGCCCCAGGGAACACAGACCAGTCACCAGCTGTGTCTCTCTCTACTGAGGTGCCCCAGGGATCCTTGGTGGAGGAAGCCAGCAGCAGCCTGCGGTTCTCAGACAGGGGAACTCTAACTGTGGTTCCTGAAAGTCTGTGACACAGTTCTTTTTTCTCTCTTACTTGCTCTCGTGTTCTTTCTCACTCTAAAGAATAGTTGGACACTCCTGAAGCCTCTAGTCACCATCCAGGGGATTTTTTTCACCATGAAGGGTAATTCCTGCCCCATCCCTGCTGTGACTCAGCTGTGACGTTGAACCATACAAGCCAGAGAAAAGACGATAAAGTCATCAGAGACTCCCTGCTCACCAGAGAAGGTGGCCCAGGCCTGAACCCACTTCTCTCATCACATTCTCTACTGGGCTGGTCCCTGGCCTGGAGAAGCTTAGACAAGCCCTCTAGCAAGCCTGGGAACCCAGGATGGCCTCCAGCTCAGCCAGCAGCCCCCGCCCAGCCCCCGATGAGAATGAGTTTCCCTTTGGATGCCCCCCCACCGTCTGCCAGGACCCATCAGAGCCCAAGGCCCTCTGCTGCGACGCCTGTCTCTCAGAGGACATGAGGTGAGGGGATGGGGGAGCAAAGGGTGAGTGCCAGGATGGCACCAGGGAGGGGACGCAGACAGGAGGCGAGGGTGAGAAGCACTGGTGATGTTGGGCAGGTCACTTCACCTCTGTGGGCCTCAGTTTCCACACCCTTTCCTCTTAGTCCTCGACATTGTCCCTCTGCCTGTTGGTAAAAGGAGAAGTAGCCACAGGAAGATATCAGGTCCCTCAGGAGAAGGCCATCCAGTGTGGGGGCAGAGCCTTTAGGGCCAGCTATGCTACTTATGTGCTGTGTGGCCTGGTACAGATTGCTTAATGTCTCTTAGCTCAGTTTTCTTGTCTACAAAATGCCTGTAAAGCTATTTTCTACCTCACAGAATTGTTAGACGGTCCAATCAATAATGTCCCGAAACTTCTTTTAATAAAGAACGTTAACCCTCTTGGTAAATGACAACTTGTTATACAGAAATATATCTCTTTTCACAATAGCACCCATTACCTTGTACTGTTTGCTGAGAACCCCCTCAAATTGGACAAAAAAAAATACATATGTGTATATATATATATATATATATATATATATATTTAAGTAATCAGAGAGATGTGCTATCAATACCATCATCAGCATCTCCCCTTAACTATTATGCACCTACTGTGTGCCAAGTACTCTAGTAAGCTCTTTCCTTGGGTTCTCAGAGTAACCTGATCGGATGGTACTATCGTTCTCCTGTTTCACAAATGAGGACACTGAGGCCGAATAGAGAGGTTAAGTCAACTTGCCCAAGTCACTTTCCTGGCAAATGCACTCTTACGCTGTCACATACCTACGTACCCTCTGTGTGACCTTTGTTTGGGACATTACAGCTTAAGAAGGTGGGAGAAGTGAATCAGGCCTGTGAGAAGTTCACATATTGTGACGAAGGGGAAGGCTGTGTCTGGAAAAGGTCAGGCAGGGATGGTGGAGAAAAGCCTGTCTGGTTTTACCATCAAGGTGATTATTCTGGGTTCTCTTCAGGTTTTTGTGGTGGGTCTCTTCTCCCTGGCAGACAATGAGGAAGGAACTGGGAGGGTAGTGAAAGGGCCTGGGCTTGAGGCCAGAGAACTTCTGCCTCAGCTCCACTCCTGATTCTCTCTACCTTGGCCAATCCACTTGCCCTCCTCACCTAAAAATAGGCTAAATGGTTGAGCTACTGGCTGCTAACCAAAAGGTTAGCAGTTCAAACCCACCGGTAGGTCCGTAGGAGAAAAGATCTGACAATCTGCTCCGATAAAGATTACAGCCCGGGAAAACCTATAAGGCAGTTCTACTCTGTCCTATAGGGTAGCTGTGAGTTGGAATCAATTCACCGGCATACAACAACAATAACAATGGTGCTCACCATGGTTCAGACTCACTTGGGGAGCTTTTTAAAAACTCACATGCCCATATGTCACCTGAGTCAGAATTTGATACCCATCCTGGTTAAGAACCTCCAGGCTCTGAGGGCCCTTCATATTCTAACAGGCCATGATTATCTGTGATTACTAAAAATCAGAGACCAAAACCAGAAAGAAGAAGACCACTCTGTAAGGCACAGATCCACAGTCCTTATCCAAACCCTTGGGATCAGATGTGTTTTGACATTCAGAATTTTTTCACATTTTAGAAAAACAAGTCAGTGCATTATGTAATTCTTCCAGTGGTGACTGAGTCAGCGCCCTAAAATTAAGCACATTAATATTTCTGCAGTGAAACACATGAATATCCATACATAGTGGGATAAATAAGGGCTATAATTGCCTCCAGTTAATTCAGTTCGGGTTTGGCTGCCAAATAAATTCACGTCAAAACTATGAAAAAACATTTGACATTCAGAACATTGGAGGTTTTCGGAACAGTGGAATTGTGGACCTGCACGCTCATTGACATCGCCGCCATGCTGGGCAGCATCTAGGCTTTTAGAGCTGTTGGGACAGGGTAGTGCCAGGGAACTGTGAGTGCCCCACCCTGGAAAATGTGCTCATGTTTCCCCAGGAACAGCGAGGATCAAAGCTGCCCTAAATGCAGAGGGGACGACCCCCATTCTGCAAGCCCAGGAAACCTTCTGTCTCAGGAGAAGGTATGTTGTGCACCAGCAAAAGGTATAGTCCGTTCTCTCGATCTGTTCACAGTGAGGCCAAGTAGGCAGCAGCCCACATGGCCCCTGGCAGGTGCCTCCTTCCTTGTGTTCAGTCCAGACTGAATTCAGTTTGTAGGAGGTGAGGGGACTGAAGTTCCCAGAGGTGAGCAGTGTGCCCAAGGGCATGCAGCTGATCTGTGGCCGATTCAGGGTGAAAACAAGAATCTAGACCAGGGTCCACAAATTAGAGCCCAGGGGCCAAACCTGGTCCATCACTAGATTTTTTATTTTTAAATGGTTGGAAAAAAAAATCAAAAGAAGAGTAACATTTTGTCACATGTGAAAATTATATCAAATTCAGATTTCAGTGTCCATAAATAAAGTTTTACTGGAACACAGCCACGCTTGTTCATTTATGTATCGACTATAACTGTTATCACCCTGCAATGACAGAGCTGAGTGATTGCAACAGAGACTGTCTGACCCGCAAAGCCCAAATTATGTACTTTCTGGCCCTTTCCGGAAAAGGTTTGCAGACCCCTGGTCTAGACAGGTCTTTTTGTCCCTGTGTCTGCTCTCAAGCAGGGAGTATTATCTTACTTCTTGGACTCCCCCAAGCTGTGTTTCTAGAAATAAGAGATGACTTTGGAAATGTGAGGGACTAAAGAGACATTCTCAGGTACCACAATTTAGAACCTTGGTCCTTCAGAGCTGGGAGGACCTTCACAGGTTATATGACCAGTCCAGTGGTCCCCACATGCTGGCCAGAGCTGCTCTAATCCTACTAGTTCATGACAAAATGATAAAAATAAGGAAATCAGTGAGTTTTTAATGAAAATAAATTCTTTACCCAGAGATTATATTCTCCCTAAAAATGTTTTTATATAAATGAAACAATGGTGATAGTAGATGATAGAGTTTTTGGTAAAACCTTCACTTGGCAAAATAAAATGATGGCAGTCTTTATGCTAATCTCTCAATTCAAACAAACACAAATTTATATTGATCCATGGATCCAAATGTCTTTGGAACCACTTCTCTAAATCCTACCCTTGGTTTTGCACATGGGGCTCCAAGACCCACTGGCAAGTCTCCATGCTGAAGCTGCCCTATGGCCGGGACTTACCACTGGACCACCCACACTGCCCCCTTTATAAGGCACATGGCTCTTTCAGCCAAAGCTTCCTCTTTGCTACAAACTCTGGTCCAGGGGTCAGGGACCTGGCATCCTTGATGGTACTGTATAGTCCGTTGCATGGCCCAGGATGAGTCCAGTGCCCTGTTTGGGCCTCAGTTTCTCCATCTGTAAAATGAGGAAGTTACTCTGGCTCTGCAAAGCCCTTCCAGAACCTGTGATGTCCAGATTGTGGGTCAAGAGACGGCAGAGCGACTCCCCCTCCCCACCTGTTGGAGCTAGAAGCAGGCAAGTCTCACACCTCCTGGTCTCTCCTTGGCTCTGGACCCACTCATTCAGAGAGTTTGGGGGGATTTCCTGCCCCACTCAGAGCTGATTTGAGGATTTCCCACCCCGTCTCAGCAGCCCCTCCTCTACTAGGTCCTCAACTGGATAATAGCAAAAACAAAAACCAAACTCGTTGCCATCAAGTCAGTTCCAATGCACAGCAACCCTGTAAGAGTAGAACCTCCCCATAGGGTTTCCGAGGAGCATCTGGTGGATTTGAACTGCCGACCTTTTGGTTAGCAGCCGTCGCTCTTAACCACTTTGCTACTAGGGCTACAAGGGGATAATAGTAAAGATCAAATGCATTTTCTTGAAACTTTACACTTTACAGTGCAGTAATAGTTAATATGATAGACTGATCCATGGACTAGTCTCTGAGCCTCCTTGTTTGGGTGTCTTAGTGGGCGCACGGTGAAACTTGAGCATACCTATTCCTCTCTGTGGGCCGCAGCACTCCACCTGCAAGATGGAGGGGCTGGACAGATGCCCTTGAAGGCCCCTGACCACTTAAATGCTGGAAGGCTAGTGTTTTTTACCTTGTTTTATTCTTTTTCCTCTTAACGAAAGCAATATGTACAAAGTGTACAAATCTTAGATAATAGAGATAAGACATATTTAAATATCTTTAATCCAATGGTTTTAGTATTTTCAGCTTTATTCAAATGAAATCAGGTAAAAGTAGAAGGGCCCTGGTTACAGGGAAGCCTGGAGACTTGCCCTCTTAGTTGCTCCATTTCTTTCCCCAGTCCCAACCCCTCAGGGGCTCTGGGGGCTCATAGGGCCCTGCACAGCACAGTTTGAAACTTGCTGCTTTAAACCAGATGCAGTGACTAATGGTGGACTTACAGGCCTCTGTCAGGCTGTAAGGCACACAACAACAACAACAAATCAGGCTACAAAAGGAACCCTGGTGACATAGTGGTTAAGCGCTTGGCCACTAACCAAAAGGTCAGCAGGTGAAACCTACTAGCCACTTCAGGGAGGAAAGATGTGGGAGCTTGCTTCTGTAAAGAGTTTCAGCCTTGGAAACTTTATGGGGCAGTTTCACTTTGTCCTGTGGGGTTGCTGAGTCGGACTCAACTCGATGGCAACAGGTTTGGTTTTGGTTTGGTATCAGGCTATGGAGTGGGAGGGGTGTGGCTGATATTTGGGGGCAGAGGCCTTTTTGACGCAGGCCAGTCTCTGAGAAATGTCAGTCCCCCTGAATTCCCCACTAAATGCAGTCATCACTCTTATAGTGAAATGTTGGAGGACAAGTCAGTGGTCTGATCACCTGCACAAAGCCACACAGTGGAAATACCAGGGACTCCTTGGCCTCCTGACCCTGATGGGAACTTCAGGGGACTTTTGACCAGAGACAAGCAGCTGGTTATAAGTCAACACTAGGCATATGTGGTAATCCCTTAGTCTGTCTGCATCTGGGGCAGCCTGGGAAATGGAGGCGCTGGAGGGGCAGGGCTGGAGACCACCGAGCTGTGCCCATCCTTGCACACAACTTTCCATGCCATCTGCTTATCAGCTGTCCTCATCCCCTGACTTCATCAGAGTAATATCTCCCTAAGAAGTGCTCGGAGTCAGGGGCGATTAACTGATGTAAGCAGCAGATATGAAAGGGATTAACGGTGACCTAGTTGGAGACTTGGCCCTTGCCTGAAATGACCTTCCTTTAGAAGTGACAGTGAAGTAGGGTATGACCTGGTGGCTGGGAACTAACACTCAGTTCTGTCTGCCTGAGACCCTGTGAGTGGGATTGTTTCTCTCAGTCTCTTTCCTCTGAAGCCCATTCAAGAAGGTCAAAAACAAGCCGACATCTGATGCCAGTGGCTTAAAATAATGACACAACTCGTTCTAGAATCAGAAAGCAACAGAGTTTAAGCCATCTAGTCCAATTTCTGTTCTGTGCTGGATTCGTGCTAGGTGGTCTTATGTTCTTCCAGCAACATGGAGCCCATTACTCCATGAAATGACCACTGCCATCATGGGGGGACTCTAACTGGTGCAGTGTTTGCCTCCTTATTTTTACTGAGCTGAAGTCTGTCCCCCTTGGGGCACAAAGGACAAGTCAGCCTCCTGCCTCTGAGGTAGTCCTTCATATGGGGAGAAGCTGACCTCATCCCTTTTAAGTCTGTCCCCAGTTTCTGTGCATTTGGGTTAAATGTGCTCCCTTTTTATCTGTGCCCCTTATAGTGAGATACCTGGAAATAAACCCCGGAACTCTCACACTGTTGTAGCTTGAAAATCTGTATCTGTACCCCATCAATCCCTGGGACATTCTGTGTGATGGGTGGAGGTAATTTCCCTACTTTATGGATAGGAGGCATGCCTGGCCCAAAGTCACACAGTAAGTTGGAGGCAAAGCCAGGCTCGAACTCCTGCCTCCTAGGCTGGTGGTGTCTTCTCCTATATACTGCCTCCAATTGGTGGATCACCCCCTAATGTTTTATGCATGTTTAAATAGCACAGCCAGCCTTAAGTGCTGGTATCGACCAGGTGCTATGGAAAAACAGGAATAGGCAAGACTACTTTCAACCAAGAGGATCAGGCAGGCTTTCTGGAGGAGGTGGCACAGGTTGGCGGAGAAGAACCTGGCCCAGCTACAGAGGAGGGCAGGAACTGGTGGGCAGAGACAGACTGACCGGGTCCACCCCCTGACTACAGAGTACCTCCCCCTCAGCACTAGCTGAGGTGTGAGCAAAAATGGCCCCAAGGTGTCCAGACCTGTGCTGGCCTCTGTGCCTAGCCCAGCTGGGTGGGCAGTGCACGACATGCTGCAGACCCTCCATGCTCTGCACTGATGCTCCTGGCACCCTCTTATACTCACATTCTTGGAGGCTCATGGCTTCCCAAGTGGGGTCATCCCGCCGGGACCCCCCACTGACCCCATCACAAAGGTCCCTGGATAGCTAGGACATCTGGGAACACCACACACCCAGAGACTTCTCAGACACAGACAGAAGGACGAGTGTTCCCTGAGGGTTGTGATTTTATTTTCTCTGTTTCTTTTTCCTCTCAGAGGAAATTCCACTGGGAATTTTATTTTTAGCAGTTTCCAAGTAGTGAGGCACTCAACACAGGGGCTGCTTGTGGCACCAGATGCACACCAGGGTTCTTCCTCTGCAGCCTGAGCCGGACTCCCTCTCCCCTCCCCTCCATCCCTGGCTTCAGGTGAAGCACCCTTTGGTCAAGGCAAAGACTCTGTGATGGGGAGGAGGGACCCTGGACATGGACCCCAGGCCCCTGTACCCTACCTCAGCTTTGCCCCAAACTTGCATCAACTCTCATAAGTCACTGATCACCCCTGAGCTTCGGCTTCCCCACCCATAGGAGGGAAGCAGAACCTTAAAGCCCCAACCTCCTCCTCATGGTGTGTGAGCATCCTCCAGTGGGGCGGTGCTTACAGAGGTGTGGAGAAAGTGGCAGACCCTTGCAAGGCACATAACTATAGGACAGAAGACACAGATTCTGTCAGCTCCTTAGCACACAAGCGTCGTGTGACCTTGAGTGAGCCACTCAGTTTCCCCATCTGTGTCTGGGTGAAGCTCATCCAGCCCTGCCTGTCTCAAAGGACTGTTGTGGGGGTCCTATGAGATAACATACAAAAATAATATGTTCCTCTATAAATATAAGCTGTTTTTAGGAACTCAGTGTTCCTCACCTCACAGAGGAAATCCAATGGGAAAATGGAGTTTTATAAGATTAGTAATTAAGAGTTTGAGCTGTGAGAATTAAATGAGATACATCCATTAGGGGAAAAAAAAAAAAGATGCCACAAGGGCAGTGCTTAATCCTTAGGAATTATAATACTAATAATAATAATACCACTAGTAATAGCTAACATTTATTGAGAACAGTGTTAAGCAGGATGATGTCCCCCCAAGATGTCCACATCCTAATCCCCAGAATCTATGAATGTGTTACCTTACATGGCAAAAGGGGCTTTGCAGGTGTTATTAAATTAAGGATCTTGAGATGGGAGATGATCCTGAATTATCTAGATGGGCCAAATATAGTCACAAGGGTCCTTATAAGAAGAATGCAGGAGGGTCACAGACAGAGAGATTGGAAGTTGCTACACTGCTGGCTTTGAAAATGGAGAATAGGGCTGCAAACCAAGGAATGCAGACGACCTCTAGAAGCTGGAAAAGGCAAGGAAACAGATTCTCTCCTAGAGAGAGAGCACAGCCCTGCCAACACCTTGATTTCTGACCTCCAGAACTATAGTACATTTCTCTTGCTTTAAGCCACTGAGTTTGTGGTAATTTTACCAGCACTTACCTGTGTTGTCTCATTTAATCCTTATAATAACTCTATGAGAGGGTGCTATTATCATCTTCATTTTGCAGATGAGGAAACTGAGACACAGAGAAGTTAATTAACTTTCCCAGGGCTACACAGCTAGTACATGACAGAAACGGGCTTTGAACCCCCAATAGGCTGGCCCCAGAGCCCACACCCTTAACCCCTACAGCACTCTAAGGAATGAAAGACTGATAATGGACCTAGTGTGGCCTGGCTGGCCTCCGAAGCCTCTAAAGGCATCTGGAGTCTCCCCTGCCCCCTCCTCCATCAAGTTTGAGACTGGGCACAGCTCACACAGGCATCATAATAAGGATGACTCCTACACCCACATAGTGTTTTACACCCTGCAGCAGGCTTACTGCACACACAGCACCAGGGAAGCTCAACTGCCAAAACAGCACAGCCTGTTCCACCTGTGGGTGATGTCTAGAATTCCACCCCTAGAGTTTTATCACTTTCACCTTTATTGCTGTTCTGACTGTCATTTCAAGCTACTGTTAGACCCTTAGAACCTCACAGAGGATGCAAATCATGGACTTGTAGGGAATGTTAGGGCATGAGAGGTGACCCCCAGTCCATTCTCCCAGGACTTAGGTCCACATGGGACATCAGGCACTTCTGGGCTCACCCTCTGTCTTAGTCATCTAGTGCTGCTACAACAGAAATACCACAGGTGGATGGCTTTAACAAAGAGAAGTTTATTCTCTCATAGTCCAGTAGGCTACAAGTCCAAACTCAGGGTGTCAGCCCCAGGAGAAGGCTTTCTCTCTCTGTCGGCTCTGGAGGAACGTCCTTGTGATGCATCAGTCTTGCCTTGGTCTGGGAGCATCTCAGCACAGGAACCTCTGGTCCAAAGGATGCACTCTGCTCCCAGTGCTGCTTTCTTGGTGGTGTGAAGTTCCCATGTGTCTCTGCTCGCTTCTCTCTTTTATATCTCAAAAGAGATCGGATTAAGACACTATCCAATCTTGTAAACCTCATCAGTGTAACCTCATCACAGTGATAGAATTTACAACACATAAGGAGATCAGATATAACCTCATCATAGTGATAGAGTTTACAACACATAAGGAAATCACATCAGATTATACAATCATACAATACTGGGAATCATGACCCAGCCAAGTTGACAGATATTTTTGGGGGACAGAATTTAATCCATGATACCCTCCATTGTTCCCACATGTGGGGAGGCTACCTTCTGGGAGTGGCTGCATCATCGCAGACTCCCTAAAGCTGGCAAGGCATGGTCTCCCTGCCTAGGCCGCCCTCTGCCCTCCTCACTCCCCCAATAAAACGTCTGTTTTCTCTGTTGTGAACAGCTTGTCCCTAAAGCCTAGGGCAGTTTGTGGAGAGGCGCTTTGCTGGGCTGTGCTGTGTCCCAAAACAACTGTACTCACTGAGCCCACAGATCTCCGCTTATTTTACTTTTAAAGAATAGTGACTAGTGTGGCTTGTATGTGCTCAGCCCCAAATAACTCTGTCTTCTCCTTTTTCCCTCTAAATCACCCTTCACATAGCCCCATGTGACAAAACTCTTTTAAAATTAAGATATTGTTTACCTGCAATAAAATTCACTCATTTTAAGTGTGCAATTTGATGAATGCTAGTAAATGTATACAATCATGTGGCCACCACTACAAGCAAGGCAGCAAATGTACCAAAAGAGGGTCCTGGTATCCCTGTGCGGTCTGTCTCCTCACCCAAACTCAGCCCCAGGCAACTGCTCATCTACTTTGTGTCACCATAGTTTTGCCTTTTCTAACATTCGTAAGGATGGAATCATGCAGTATGTAGTGGCTTGTGTTTGGCCTGTTTTACTTAGCACAATGTTTTTGAGATTCGTCCATGTTATTGCATATATTAGTATTTTGTTCCATTTGATTGCTGAGTAGTATTCTATAGTACGGATATGCCACAATTGGTTAATCTATTCACCAGTTGATAGACATTTGGGTTGCTTCCAGTTTGGGGCTATTATTATTGGTAATAGCTGCATTGAGCATTCACACACCCATCTTTGTGTGGACATATTTTAATTTTCCTTGAGTAAATACCTAAGAGTGGAGTTTGTGGGTTGGATAGTAAGTGTATGTTTAACTTTATAAGATACTTTCATAGATTTTTCCAAGGTGGCTGTACCAGTTTGCACTCCTACCAGCAACGCATGAGAATTCCAGTTGTTTCACATCCTCACCAGCACTTGGTACTGTCAGTCTTTTTTATTTTAGGCATTCTAGTGAGTGGATAGTGGTATCTCATTGTGGTTTTAATTTGCATTTCTCTGATGACTAGAGAGGTTGAGCATCTTTTCATGAGCTTATTTGTCATTCACGTATCTCCTCTTGTGAAGTATTTGTTCAGATCTTTTGCCCATTTTTTAATTAGGTTGTGTATCTTATTATTATTCAGTTGTAAGAGTTCTTTATGTATTCTAGATACAAGCCCTTTTCTAGATATGTATTTTTCTCCCATGGGCTTATTCTTGATAAGAGATAGGGAGATGGTATGGGAAGAGCCCTGTGGCTGTACTGCTTCCTAGTTGGGCCTCCCTGGGCAAATTCCTTCCCCTTTCTGAGCCTCAATTTCTTCATGAGTAAAATGGGAGCAAAAAACCTACTCTGCCTACCCTACAGGGTTATTAGGGGCCCCAAGTGGAATTATAACCACAGAAACATTTTGTAAACCCTTCAGACCTATAAACAGGTTAACAGTATTGTCAAGTGGCACTTGAGAACTGAGTACCTTGTGTCACTGCCCTTGGACTGTGCATCATCTGGAAGGGAAAGAGGTGCAGGGCAGGCATGCCTCAGTTCAGGGTGGGTTGCCAAGGAGGGGTGCAGATGGGAATTGTGAGGAGAGGCCCCGTGGGTTTTCAGGAGGAGGGAGACATTCACTCGCACAGACAGTGTGTCCCGAGTGTCTGCTCTGTGCCGGGCACTTCCCTTGGCACTAGGAACATGGCTCTGACCCTCACAGAGCCCTCAGATGCCAAGTTTGCTAGCTAAGTGAACACAAAGGCTCTAGATGATGCATTGGCCTGTGGTGGGCAGGGGGTGGGGCAGAAGACTCCAGCTCTGGTCTGGGCTCTTTCCCTGGCCTTGAGAAGCCCTGGGTACCTCAGAGACAAAAAAAAAAAAAAAAAAATGGGGGATAGAACAGATGGTCTACCTCTAAAACTTCTAAGCTTAAATCTCCTCAAAGCTCAGAACCTTCTCCTACACAGAATTCCTGGAACATAGCTTTACTAATAATGACAATTCTTCAATAGTAGTCCAGCAATTTACAGTTGCAAAGTGTTTTCTCATACAGTTTATTTGATCCTCACAAATGAGATGGTCAAGGCAAGAGGTACTTTCCCTACTTACAGATAAGGACACGGAATCTAGTAAGGAATGGCTTGCCTAAGGTCACACAACTAAAACTGAAAAACAATACTATTATTATTAAGAGTACATTTTAAAAATGATGAACCAGAACTTTTATAGTTTGCCAGGAATTTCTCCAGCCATCTCCTTACGTCATTCACCCAGTGCAGGGGGACGTACTGTTTGACCAATGAGGATTTTGAGGCCCAGATTGGTGAGCAATTGAACTGAGATTATAGCCCCGGTCTCCTGACACCCAGGCCTTGGCCCTCTCCAGAGAACTCAAACCTTCTCATTCAGTTCCATGTCACTGTGAGGCTCCGTGGGGCAGAGACAACCATCATGGGCCCAGCACACAGAAAGCATCCAGCAGCCCAGCCCAGCGCCTGCCCTGGTGGGTCCTGGCGCTCTGCAGAGAGCTGCAGTGGTGGTCACAGGGATCCCAGTAGCTTCCAGTGACATGGTTCTTGTTTCCAGGACCACCCGGAAATGGCTGAGACTAGAGTTGGGTGCCCCTTTGCAGGCGTCGGCTGTTCATTCAAGGTACGTATCTTGAGTGTGAAAGTGTGAAAAAGATCTGTCCACTAAGGTCACAGACTTCTAGGTCTCTCCACTCCAGCCCTTCTAGAATTTTCTCATGATGTCAAGCTACTCTTCTGGATGTTCCCAAGCAACAAATCCTACTATTAAGTCATCTCGGTACTCGGGGAAGTTCTTCTTAGTGTCTTACCTGAGCATTGGTATTTGTTGCTGTTGTTAGGTGCCGTGGAGTGGATTCTGACTCATAGCAACCCCATATGACAGAAAAGAACTGCCCCATAGGGTTTTCTTAGCTGTAATCTTTATGGAAGCAGATCACCAGGTCTTTCTCCCATGGAGCCGCTAGATGGGTTCAAACTGCCAACCTTTGGGTCATTAACCCAGTACTTAACCATTTGTGCTACCAGGGTTCTAAAATGACCCCATGCCTCTCTGTGGTACTGAACCATCATTTTGCCCAAGGGCAGGGCCGGGTCGCTGCTCTGGAGGCTGAGATACATGTGGCTTCCCACGGGTATGTCTGATGCCAGAGCCTCCTCCTGAATCTCTCCCACTGCATACAAAGCCGCCTCCCCTTTGCGAGGTGAATGGGTCTGACTTCCCTTGGCGACCTTTGGTGCAGTGCTTTCCACTGCTCCGTGGTCCTTCTTCACCTTCTCTGTTTGCACTAACCAGCCCTGCTCTCTCTGCAGGGAAACCCAAAGTCTGTGCAGGAGCACGAGGCCATCTCCCAGGCCTCCCACCTAAATCTGCTGTTGGGTTTCATGAAACAGTGGAAGGCCCAGCTGGGCTCTAGCCAGGACTCCGGACCCATGGCCCTGGAGCGGAACCTGTCAGACCTGCAGCTGCAGGCAGCTGTGGAGGTGGCCGGGGACCTGGAGGTGGACTGCTACCGGGCACCCTGCTCCGAGAGGCAGGAGGAGCTGGCCCTGCAGCACTTCATGAAGGAGAAGCTCCTAGCTGAACTAGAGGAGAAGCTGCGCGTGTTTGAGAACATTGTCGCCGTCCTCAACAAGGAGGTGGAGGCCTCCCACCTGGCCCTGGCTGCCTCCATCCACCAGAGTCAGCTGGACTGTGAGCGCATCCTGAGCTTGGAGCAGAGGGTGAGCAAAGGAGGCAAGTTTGCCTTCAGGACCTGCACAGGGAGCCCCCTTTGCCCCTTTTATCTCTAGAGCAGTAGACCAACCTTCCTTCTAAGGGTTGTCTCAGTTGAGAGTATTCACTCCCCCATCAAAACTTCTCTCTCCTTCAGGGCAAGCACTGACTCAGATCTTATAGTCAAATTCAAACCCCCACATCCAATGCTTCAGTTCCTTTGCTTGAACTTCTCCTACGATAGGATACTCCCTCCCCAGGCAGCTCATTCCTGTGTCTTCCCTGCATTGTTCCTGGTCCTGCCTCTCAGAGCACCAAACAAATCTGCCTTCTAGTCCCTGTGGCAGCCCTTCAGAGGTGGGCAGTGATTATATCCTATCTGACCATTTCCTTCTTTAGGCTAAATGCCCCCAGCACCTTCACCCCTTTGCCAGAGCATGGTGTTTCATGCTGTCCTCGTACACTGGCTTAGTCTCTAAAGGATTCCGTATGCTCAGAGTGTGGTCCCAGACTCCAGGAAGTCCACTTATCTGGCAGTTCTTGGTTGGGTAGGACTGTCCCCTCTTTTGTTGCAGAGCTTGTATTTTTATTAACGTAGCCGGTCACCATGCTGGTGTTGCTTTTTGGCAGCAACATTACATCATTGTCTCATATTGAGTTAGGCCTGGATTTTGGTTGCAGCTCCACAGTTAAGTTGGTGGCACAGTAGTTAAGAGCTATGGCTGCTAACCGAAACGTTGGCAGTTTGAATCCACCAGCCACTCCTTGGAAACCCTATAGGCTGTTCAGCTCTGTCATGTAGGGTTGCTATGAGTCAGAATAAATTGAACAGCAGCAGGTTTTTGTTTTTTTATAGGTCTAGGCGAGTCATTTCCCACTCAGGGCGTCAGCATCCCCATCAGTAAAAGTAGGGATTAAATTGTCTTTAAGGACACTGACTTCCACTCCTGGCTTCCCCACCTGAGCACACCCAAGAATAAATTTGTGGCTTTGGAGATTCACTGGAGAACCTACCAGAAGGGCCAGGTGCTGAGTTTGAGTGACCAAGAAAAGCCTAGATTTATGTGACTCTTGCCCCAGCTAGAAGGTAGGCTCTTTGAGGGCAGTGACTGTGTCTTCATTTCACCAACAAACTACCTGCCTCTCCTCTTACATGCCAGGCACTATGCAAAGCACGGACAGAGAAGAAATGAGCATGGGCCCAGCCCTCAGTAGGTAGGGGAGACCATCTGGTAGAGAAGGCAGAAAAGTATGCTCATAAAACCATGCTAAGGGCTCTGTAAGAACACAGATGAAAGAGAGACCAGCTGATGTAAGACAGTGGTTGAAGCTTCCCAGAAGAAGGGCTATATGAGATGGATGCCTGATGGATGAATAGGAGTTGGCCAGTGACAAAGGAAGGAAAAAGAATCCCAAGCAGAGGGAGCAGCACATGCAAGGCATATTTTGGGCAGATCAGTCTCCATATCTTACTATCCCCACCCCACCCCCAAGCCAGCTGCTGGTGGCCCTGGCTGAATAGGCTTCCCTGCAGGTGGTGGAGTTGCAGCAGACCCTGGCCCAGAAAGACCAGGCCTTGGGCAAGCTGGAGCAGAGCCTCCACCTCATGGAGGAGGCCTCCTTTGACGGTACCTTCCTGTGGAAGATAACCAACGTCACCCGGCGGTGCCATGAGTCTGCCTGTGGCAAGACCATCAGCCTCTTCTCCCCAGGTAACACCTCCCCGGGGCACAGAGACCAGCAAGGGGAAGCAGGCCCACTGGGAAACAACCAGTGAGGGCCACTAACCCTGCAGTGATCACCCTGTGTCCCATTAGGCCGGTGTCCATTCAGGTCACCTACCACAGCCAGCAATTGTGCTTGGACTGTGGAGGGTAGGAGGGGAAGGAGCTCTCAGCTGTGGATAGAGAGAGCTGGGCTCAAGTCTCCACTGAGGGAGGTACACTAGTGGGCTGTTTGAACCTGGGCAAGCCCTTTCACCTCCTTGAGCTTCAGTCTCCTTCTACAAATGGAGATAAAAATAGTTACCTACTTCATGTAGATACTGGATGTGAAAGAAAGTGCAAATGTGAACCAAAGCTTTGTGCAAAAGAGAGGAATGTGGATGATGATTTTCACAGGTAAATACAGTGGAACCGTGCCCTCGGGGAGCCAGTGAGCTGAGCTAAGTGGAGAACTATGTAAAACACAATGTGCATTTGTATCTGACTGCTTCCCATATGAATGCCTGTTACGTAAATCTGGGAGGGTCTCATTCATTTCTCTGCCCCTGGGCTTGGCCTAAAGTAGTTACTCAGTCTGGCTTAAAGTAGTTACTCAGTAAATGAGTTTCCTAACTAGTTGATGTATGTTTGTATAACAATGCATGTATTTGTACATAACACACCCATGCCTGGGGATCAATATATGGCAGCACCATGTGCCATATGGGCAGCCACTGGACTTGTGATGCTCAAATCCTCACCAGGCTCCTGTTGTCTCAGCATCATTTTACCAACAATAAACTGAGGCCCAGGATGCCTAAGTCCCTTGCCAAGGCTGCACAGCACATTGGGAGGGGAGCCAGGACCCAGACCTGTGTGCTTTTCCTCTCACCTCACTCATGCGTGTCTAAGTGAAATGATGGGACAAGAAAGGAGAATGATGATTTTAACAACCCCTCACATCTGCCCATGTTCACCTGCTGATCAGATGTACCCAAGACCAGGAGGGCTAGGATTATTTCCCTTCTGCCTCTGGATTTTATAGAGGCAGAGACTGAGAGGCAGAAGGCCCTGGTCCCACTCTAGGCCCCGTTCCTGCCAGGGCAGTGTTGCTCCCCTCTGTAGGGCAGCCCTCTTCATGGCAGCGGAGGCCTCCCATGCTGCTTGTAGACCTCCCCCACCTTTCTTTCCAAAGAGGGAAAAGGCAAGCAGTGCCTCTTGCTTCCTGTTCTCCCAAAACATTAGGGGCAGAGATGAGTCAGATTGTCAGCCTGCCCCCCTCAGAGAAGCCCATATGATAACAGCTGCCGGAACCCACCCGCAGGATGGCCCTCTCAGTTCCCCAGAGAGAGAGCCCACAAGCCCCTGTTACCAAGGTCTCAGGTCCTCGCTCGACACGGCTATAGAGACACAAAACGGGTGAAAGTGAAAGAAGCTTAATTTGGTTGGTCAAAGAGAGGAGCACACCGGAACTTGCGTCGCCAAGATGGCGCCCTGAACAATGGCTGGAACAGCATTTATCAGGGGAAGGTCTTGGCAGGAAGGAGCAAGGTCGTTAATTGGTCTGGTCTAAAAACAGCATTCTCAGGGCGATTCTGTCATCTGTACTTGCTCAGTCCAAAATGGGGGGTTCTCTCAAACCAGATCTCAGGCTCAGACCCCTCACTTCTGAAATTCTTCTCTCAGTCTTGGGCTGCTAAAGTTTGGTTCCCTCTGGCGGGAGAAAAGTTCCAGGTCACCAAGAGGGTGGGGGTTGATGGTTCCGTGCATCTCAGGTGGGCCAGATTTGGTCTTAACTGGTTCTGCAGACCCCAGCCTCTTGTTTTTCTTACCTTGGGCAGGAAGTTGGCCGATTGCCTAAAAAACATCTGGAGAAACCAGTTATTAGGGGAGGTGGCTCATGCTACTCTACTTACAAGTTGGGGGTTGGTAATGGTGCCTGGAGGCTGTTGGCCTCACCCCATTGCTTAATCACCAGGGGATGTCTCAACCCTCAGGGCCTTGCCGAGGATGGTCAGAAGCTGAGCTGTCCCACTCTCCCCCAGCTCCCAGGAGGCTCTGGGCAGCAGGAAAAAAACATTGTTGGCAGGTAGGACGTCTGGCCCCTAATCCTGGCTCTGCCCCAACACACGGTGAAACCTTGGCCAGCCACGTCCCTGGACTTGGTTTCCCAACTGTAAAATGCAAGTTAGGCTATAAAGGAGACTGGAGAAACCCCGAGAGTATGGCCCCCAGACACCCTTTTAGCTCAGTGGTGAAGTTATCTCTGAGGTTAACCGTTCAGCCTGGGAGTGGACAGCCCTATAAAACCAAATGAGACTAACGAGGTACAGGAGTCCAGTGACAAGGGCCAGAAGGCAGAAGGGGACGAGGAAGCCGGTGATAGGGAACCCAGGGTTGAGTAAGGATATTGTTGATTTGTTGTGAGATTGTTAACCATTGTCATAGGGCAACACTTGTAGTAACTGTTAAATGAGAAACTATTTTGTTCTGTAAGCCTTCATCTTAAGTGAGAATAACAGCACAATCGGAAGAGTGTAGACAATGTCACTGAACTGTGCATGTGGAAATTTTTGAAATGGTGTATCTTTGGCTATGTGTATTTTCACCAAAAGAAAAGGTTGAGAAGTTAGAGGGTTGACATGTTGTGGGGTTGTTAACCAATGTCATAAAACAATATGTGTACTTCTGTTTCATGAGAAACTATTTGTTCTATAAGCCTTCACCTGAAGTACAATAAAAAAATAATAAATAAATAAATAATGCAAGTTAGGCTAGATCAGCAGTTCTCAAAGTGTGGTCCCAGGACAAGCAGCATCGGCTCCCCTGCAAACTTGTCAGAAATGCAGATTCACAGTCCTCACCCCAGCTCTACTGAATCAGAAACTCTGGGCTTTGCAAGCCCTCCAGGAGATTCTGGTAGCCAGTTGACAGTTGCTGGGCTGGATAACCCCAAGAGCCCGGCCCACTTTGACACTATGTAGGGTCACTATGAATCAGTATCGGCTTGACAGCAATGAGTTTTGGTTTTGGTGTAATGGAGAAGAACGCCAGGCTCTAGCCCCAGCCTTCTGAGTATTCAGCTGTTGACCTTGGGCATGCCTACCCATTGGGTCCCAGTTTCCTCATCTGCATTTTCCAGCTGTCTTTGCTGACTGTGGCTTCCACATTTCAGCTTTCTACACTGCCAAGTATGGCTACAAGTTGTGCTTGCGGCTGTACCTGAATGGGGACGGGTCAGGAAAGAGGACCCACCTGTCACTCTTCATTGTCATCATGAGGGGGGAGTACGATGCTCTGCTGCCCTGGCCTTTCCGAAACAAGGTATGGGCCTGCCCTCCAGGGAATGATGGGATGGGGTGGGGGAGCAGGGAAATACTTGGGTCCTAGTCCTGGCCTAACCATGAACTAGCTGTCTGTCCTGGGGCAAGCCGCTTGCCCTCTGCCATTACTGGTTTCCTCTTTCATAAAATGAGGGGCAGAGTCCAGATCTGCCAGCTCTATTCCAGCTAAAATGCCTGGAATTGTGTGCCCCTGAAGGGCATGTAGAAGTTAAATTCACAGGAAGGAGAGGAGGTGCCATGGGGCTAGCCTCAAGGCAGGATTTTCAAAAGAAGCCATTCCCTGCAGGTGAACTAGGAGCAGCCAGTGAATGGGGTGGGGGTGGGGGGTCAAGAATACTAGACTCAGCTCTGGTGGGGGAAGATGAGGGAAAACAGTGGGGTGGGGAAGGAGTGCCAGGTTGGTCTGTGTGTGAGTCAGCAGCCCAGGGGTTCTCAAATGTGCTGGGGAGATTTTTTAAATACCGATGACTGGGTCTCACCCTAGTAAACAGTGAAGCCCGACAAGGGGATTTTTCAAACCTCCCCAGGGGATTCTCACATGCAGCTGACAAGCAATGGAAGCTATTTCAGTTTCCCCATTGGCATCTTAATGACATGTAGCAGGGAAGAGGGTGTGTATTTTTAGTTCATCTGCTTCTTGCTGGTAGAGCCGAACTGGCGGGGGTGGGTAGAAACCTCATAGGGTTTCAAAGGAGTGACTGGTGGATTCAAACTGCCAACCTTTTGGTCAGCAGCCATAGCTCTTAACCACTGCACCACCAGAGCTCTGGATTTACAACAGAAGCCCCATAAATGTTTCAGGGCATTGATGGACAGCCCTTCTGGAGAAGGTCTCCCCGCTCTTCCCCTCTGCTTTGCCCCATGAGGTTCTAGGTATACTTGATAAATCAGAAATTTCAGAGCCATAAAGGAGCATTACAGGTTATTAAGTCCAGCCTCCTTGCCAATGCTTCCATCCCCCATTTAGCGCTAACAGCCAGTCAAAATGGACTCTGTGGC